GAAACAGTAATGATGAAAAGGTAAATTATACACCGTGAAAAGATGAAAAAACTTACTGACGTTTCGGACGCTAGTCCTTCGTCGGAGTAAAAGAGAAATTAGTACTATTTCATGCAGAATCCCTTTTTTTTTCATTGTTTAATTATCACTATTTAGTGCTAAAAATTAGTATTTGTTTCACGGATTTAGTGCGAGCACTCTATCACAATATTCCAAAACCGGGCGAACAAAAGAAATATAAATAATATTGGCACAATGCAGGTTCAATTATTTCTAATACGCCCTAGAATACCTAGGCCTCTCGCAGCTTTAGATAGTATATTTTGGATATTGCAATTCCAAGAAAGCGAGTCGTCAAAAGAGCTTCCTAGATATTTTATTATTCAAATACACGCTTCACGGGTTCAGTGCCATTGTGTAACATATTAAATTCAGAGACCTGAGAAGGCTTATTTGTGTGTTCCTAATAAGATACATTCAGTTTTAATAGAATTAAAAATAGGCTGTTGTCACCAAACGATCGATGATAACCACTTCTAGGTTAGCATTAAACTTCCCTTCGATTGCAGACGCAGTTAAACCGGAGCAAAACAAAACAGTATTGTCTCAGCATACATCAGCATATTAAGGCCGGTTTAGACGGTACGATTTTCGCCTACAACTATCGTATACAACACGCTCGCGTCATCCTACAACTCGAGTCGTAGAGTGTAAATCAAGCCTACAACTCGCCTACGCCGACCTCACAACATCCAGCAGATCATTGAAATGGATAACGAACAGAAAAGGGTCCTAGTATTTCTAACCATAATAACCGTTGAACATAGCTCCAAACTTTGTACTCCGAGTGCCCGAAGGGTGGATAGCGCTATCCGACGAATAAATCTTATCCAGTGGATAAATTTGTTGGATAACAGCATCGATTTATTCGCTGGATAAGGATTTATCCTTTGGATAGCGCTATCGACCCTTCGTACAACCGGGCCCTGAAGGGCAACACACACCTTGGCCGTAGAAATTTTTTGAGACCTGTTTTTCATCCTTTAGAAGGACGGTCCATTCGCACCATGAGACCGCTAAGAAAAAAAACTCAGCCTTACAACCCCATTCAACTTTGCACAAAACTTAACGCTTGATCGTAATTAGCATAGTTTATAAAAGCTTTGATTAGAGCTCGCGCTTTTTTTGAATAGACCTTTTTAGCTTCGTTGTTGTTGTGCACATTACAGACCATGAAATGCGACTATTGGGAGTTGATTCTTTCATGTGTAAATATTTTATTATGTTCGTCATAAAAGAACAATTCTCAAGGGAATTTCAGGTGATCTGAATGGGCAATATTTGCATACGAAGCTATATTGATTTTCCATGTGCAATAAACCAATAAAAAAGTATATGAAACTGAAGTTAATATTCTAGTGGCTTCCTTAATTATTTGTTTAAAATTGAAACTACGAAGGAGTGCTTTAAGATGTTTACATTCGGACAATTAAGTCTATTTGGTAAAAAGTCACAATTGAAATCACCTATGATTATAATATGAATGAATATATCATATTCTGGCTGCTTTACCAGCGTGATTGGTCCTTGTAGTGTAGTGGTTAACACATCGGACTAGAATACCGAAGACGTGTCACAATTGAAATCACCTATGATTATAATATGAATGAATATATCATATTCTGGCTGCTTTACCAGCGTGATTGGTCCTTGTAGTGTAGTGGTTAACACATCGGACTAGAATACCGAAGACGTGGGTTCGAATCCTGCCAAGGGTATTTGATATTTTTCTCTTATTCTCTCTATGATTATAACGGTAGGAACTTGTAGATAGATCACCGTGAAAAGCATATGTGATTATAAATGATTATAAAGTACTTTCCTTCAGACACGGCACTTCCAAGGATGTCGTCCAGACCTGTGAAATCATTGTCGTGGTCACTAGAAGAGTTTGAGGGTCTATAAAAAGTACCAACCAAAAATCCACGAGTTTTTGGCGGCATATTTATCTCGGGCCAAAATCCTTCAATAGTGTAATATTCTAAATCCTTTCTTCTTGTGACCATTGTTTCGTTCTTACATGCTGGTAACATAGACGACAGTACCAATGGGGCCGAAAACATAGTAGTTCACTGACAAATAACCTAAAGTTAGTAGTTAAAGATAACTGATATTTCATTAACGATAAAAGGGTAAATTTTACACCGTGAAAAGATGAAAAAACGTACTTGACGTTTAAAGAAGAACGTTTCGGACGCTAGTCCGGCTTTGTCTTAGTGAAAGAAAGCATTTCATTATTTTGTTTAACAATATGGCCACCGCTCTGCATATTCTGGTGAAAGATTTCAAAATCATGCAGCCTTATAGTTTCCCCTGCTTTGTGGGAAGATACAGTTTTGGTTCAGATGCGGCACTTAATTTCATCACCATGCCGTTGTTTCTCACATTCATGTTAGTTTCCAGATAGTTCAACATCGGGCACTTAGGCAATTAAGATGGTAGTTTTAAACTCCCGGTTTAACTGCATGAGCTACATTGCAAACGGGGTTGATTCAAAAGTAGATAACCAAAACAATCGAACATCTCATTGTTGCTAGGGGATGAAACGGCGATGCAATCCAAATTTTGGATGAAACGCCGTTAGCCAAACCGACGTTGTTTTGGAACCGCCATAATCATCAAAGCATATCTCCAAAATTCAAAGAACAGTGTTCGTTTGTACGAAGGGTGAATAGCGCTATCCAACGAATAAATTCTTACCCAGTGGATACGTCGATGCTGTTGTCCAATTCCAATAAATTTATTTTGTGGAGGAAAATTTATCCGTCGGATAGCGCTATCCACCCTTCCGTACAACCTGTCCTAGAAGAATAATAACCAATGTTTGGAAAGAACTTGTTAAGTTTAGTAAAACTATAGGAGATACTTTATCAGTAGGTCGAGAGCCGTCGAGAGTGGCTAAGCTTAGATATTCATGTAGTCACAAGTATATAATCTTTCTTCTAGCTTCAAAACTAATTAATCTACGCTAGGGGGATTATTTACATATTGCTTATTGAGCCGCTAAGAAGACTATGAAGCCAAGTATTTCGCAGCGCTGAAATACCACCTTTTAAACTACTTTCTCATCAAAAGAAGTATCCCTTTATCTTAACTATGTTGCTGTAAAACTAGTTAATCTAAGAATGATTCGAATTTTCAATTACTTTTTAAAATAAATAAACTTGAGTGAAAGCATGAAAAGAAGCCGAACTAAAACCAAAACTCCTAAGCATGATTATCAAACTAAGTTCTTAATAATTTATCAAATAAGTGTAAAAAATTCTACATAAGTGAAATCTTACCGATGAAATGGAAGGAATAGCTTGATTTTGATGGTATGGTATGGTTCAAGATTACATATATGTTGCTGTTACAGTTTTAGATGTAATGCCAACATGCCGCACGCCGCCTTGCTTGATCGAACGGTGAAGCCGAAACAGTGTTAGGTCCAGCGTTATCCCATGATGCATTGCATTTCAATCTAATCATTTGAAAGTGACGTAATCACTCTTTACTATGGCAAGCCAATGGTAGCAATATTTAATCCACGAATAAAATATTTAAATCATGGCTT